CGGGGGGCGTGCGCTCCACGGGTGAGGGAGGAGGGGCGTGGTCCTCGGGCGGCGGGGGGCGTGCGCTCCACGGGTGAGGGAGGAGGGGCGTGGTCTTCGGGCGGCGGGGGGCGTGCGCTCCACGGGTGAGGGAGGAGGGGCGTGCTCCTCGGGCGGCGGGGCGAGGTGTGCGTATTTCTCGGTCGACGGAGGGGGAGGCGTGCGTATCTCTCGGGCGGCAAGGGGCGGGGGGACGCGTGTGCTTCGCCGGTGGGGCGGGGGGGCTCGCGCTCCCTGGGAAGCCGGGCGCGCCTTCTCTTTAGGCAGGGAGCGGGCGGCAGCCAGGGTTGCGCGCTTCTGGGGCAGCATGGGGCGTTATGCTATTGGGAAGGACGGGTCTCATTCACAGCAGCCTCAGGGTGGCTCAGCAATAGGCTTTTCACTCCTGTCAGCTGTGGAAGGACTCCAGGTAGAGCAGTGGCTAAGCGCTTGGCTGCTAACGGAAGGGGTGGTGGTTAGAACTCACCAGCCGCTCTATGGGAGAAAGATTAAACCAAAAACCCACTGTCTTGATTCTGACTCATAACCACCCGCCTTGGGTTTCCAAGGCTATAAATCTCTGAGGAAGCAGATGTTACCAAACTCTAGAAGGTGGGTCCTTGGCCCACTCAGACTTGCTAATCATCTGGACACCAGTTTTTCAGGAAGAGAAAGTAGGTTTATTGCAATACACAGAGCAAGGAGCCAGGAGGAAATTCCTCAGATGGGCTCCCTGAGCTATGGGAAAGCAAGGCTTATATGTGATTTGGGCAGCAAGCTGGTGGCCGCACAGGTGTACTGAGAGGGAAAATTTTAGAAGGTGGCCAGGAAACAGGAGGTGATGTGGTTCTTGTCGGACCTCTTGCTTCGATGCGAGTGATGATATTCCTTCTGATTCATTCTACCTGTTGCTGTGTCCTCTGCTGAAGTCAATTAGTGGTCACAGCTGGCCCTTTTGCACATTCAGGGCCGGCCAAATCTGGCTTGGGCCAGTTTAAGGACTAATGGAAATTACTGGCATTCGTAGGGCAGGCCTAGGGGGCAGTGAGTTGAAGATAATGGTGATGGAATAATGTGGAAAAGGATAGTGAGAATAGCGGCACAACTGGAAGAATGTAATCGATGTCACTGAATTGTACATGTAGAAACTTTTGAAATGGTGTAACTTTGGCTATGTGTATTTTCACCAAAAAAAAAGGTCCTCCGAGGTTGAGAAGGGAGAGTGTTGACATTTCGTGGGGTTGTTAACCAATGTCATAAAACAATATGTGTACTGGCTGTTTAATGAGAAACTATTTGTTCTGTAAACCTTCATCTAAAGTACAATAAAAAAGTTAAAAAAAAGATACACCATAAAATCTTTGCTATTTCAAATAAAAACAAAAGTTTTTCATGCTACTAGATTTTAAATAGCTTTAGACCAATAAGCAACATCATGATAACAGAAAAAAATCAATCATTGAAGTTGCCAAGGATTTCATTTTACTTTGATCCACAATCAACGTCCATGGAAGCAGCAGTCAAGAAATCAAAAAACGTATTGCATCGGGCAAATCTGTTCAAAAGTGTTCAAAAGCAAAGATGTCACTTTGAGGTGCACCTGACCCAAACTATGGTATTGTCAATCACCTCATATGCATGCGAAAAATGGACAATGAATGAAGAAGGATGAAGAAGAATTGATGTCTTTGAATTATAGAGTTAGCGAAGAATATTGAATATACCATGGACTGCCAGAAGAATGAACAAATCCGTCCTGGAAAAAGTCCAGCAATAATGCTCCTTAGAAGCAAAGATGGCAAGACTTCATCCCACTTACTTTGGACATGTTATCAGGAAGGACCAGTCCTAGAAGAAGGACATCACACTTGGTAAAGTAGAGGGTCAGTGAAAGAAAGGAAGACTCCCAGTGAGATGGATCGACACAGTGGGGGCAGCAATGCGCTCAAACACAGCAATGATTGTGAGGATGGCGCAGGACTGGGCAGTGTTTCATTCTGTTATACATAGGGTCGCTATGAGTTGGAACCAACTCCATGGCATCTAACAACAACAACAGTTAATAAATGGAAAAAATAAGATTTCTTCATGGGTTATCATTTGCCTAATTCTGCTCCTTTTGCTTTTTTAATGTTCTGTAACTCCTACCTTCTTTCTGCTCCCACTCTGTCTTAGTGGAAGACAGCTCTTCCTATTTTCCATCCCCAAATCTTTGTTTTTCTATACCCCAGGTATCAGCGACCTCGGTGTCTCCAAGTCCTCCAGATTTCTCAAAGTGTCTTTTCCAATACTGTTTAAAGAAAGGCATTGCAGCATTGTCCCACTAGTCACTGAAGCAAAAACTGTAGTTCCTGTCCCAGCATTTCTGCAGATTTAATCCCGGACTCAGCGTTCTCCTGACTTAGCTCCACCAAGGAACTTGGTTATTTCGCTGCTAAGAACCCACTGGGTATGCTGCTTTTTCGACCTCAGCAGAGGGGGGTGCAGGGAAAAAGCCACATTTAGATTAACTGTCCTTTCCTCACTTTCCCACAATACCATGAACACAACACAAGGACTATGTCTGTAATAGACTTTTACTGGAGGTTTGGTATTAACTAGGTGGAATTACAATTTTTAAAAACTGCCTGTATGCCAAATGTGAGTATTTCCCAGGGCCCAAAGAAAAAGGATAAAAAGTTGAATCTTTCATGGGGACCCCTCACAAACACACCCCAGTTTCTAGGCTTGACTGCCAATTTCAAAGTCGACCATTGTATTTTTCTTACACACTGATGTACCTCAGGATCTGGACTTTTGATCCGAAGTGAAGTCTCCATACTACCTGGCAGTACACATTCCTCCTCCTGCCACAACTACGTAAGACCTTCCCCCTTTCCCCCTATGCTCCTCACTTCCAGCTGATAACCCTGTTCATGGTTCACTGAGAAAACAAGTCATCACACAGGAGCTTCTTCATCTTCTATGCCAAACCTCTGGCCCCTACTTCATTCACTATGCCTCAAGCACCCTGCCCTTCTCTCAGCTCCTCAGACAGACCAAGTTCCTCTCTGTCTTAGAGCTTCTGCACTTTCTGCTCATTCCTCCAGAATGCTGGGATCCCACCTCCCTTCACCTCCTCCACCAACAACCACTGCCAGGCTGGTCTCAGGTTAAATACCATCTCACAGAGAGGTGTTTTCTAAACACTGTCTCAAGTAGGTCCTCCCTTTACAAAACATAAAATGCAATTTGTGATTTTATGGCCTGAGGGGTAGGCTCTCATTTTTATTTCCTCCCCCCACTCCCCCACAGCTAGCCTGAAGGACAGGGACTGTTTCTCCTTATATGTTTGTGTGTCTATGACTGAACAGCCATGACTGAGCACACTTCTTGATACAAAGAGAACCTCATTACATGTTGGCCGAGTGAGAACTTCAGTCATGTATGCTGCAAAATCTCTACCTATCTTCCCTCCTATTTAAAAAAAACTCCATTTTTGCCCACATTTTCTTCCTTTTCCTTTCCTTCCTTTCTCTTCCAGACAAATTCAGTCCTGTTGAACCTACTGCCATTGAGTCGATTCCGACTCATAGCAACCCCATGTGTTACAGAGTAGAGCTGCTTCATAGAGGTTTCTTGGCTGTAATCTTTACGGAAGCAGATCACCAGGCCTTTCTTCCGCGGTGCCACTGGGTGGGTTCGAACCCCCAATCTTTCTGTTAGCCAGGAACAAACTCCTGCACCATCCAGGGACCTCCCATGGCCGTTTGGGGGAGCAGAACAAGGCAGGTGTCCATGAGGGAGGGGGCAGTGTCAGAGCCCAGGCTGGATGAGGAGGCATTGATGTTGGACTGCTCAGCACTGGTAGCAGAGCCCAAGTCGAGTTGAAGGTGTCCACAAGGAGGAGGAATCTGATGTGGGTTGCTGACCCCAGCACGGTGAGGCGAGTTTCCAAGGGAAAGGAAGCCCAGCGTGTGGAGGCAGGCATATACAGGTGAGGAAGGCATCCATGCAGAGGCAGGTGGGTGTGGGCTATCAGACCTTGAACAGGGTAAGGAGAGACTCCATGCAAGAAGGCATCCCCACATGAGGAGTCAGAGTGGGGGCTGAGTGAGGAGGAATCCACAACAGTGTTTTAGAGCCCAACTGAAATACACACGGCAGGCATTCACATCTGCATGTGTTGGGGG